TGCGAGTTAGAGCTTACAATCTTGCAATTTTTAGCCCATGTTATATAAAGTAAAATAAAGTAGTTGTTGCAAGCTGCAGCTATCTCACACTAAAGTGTTATAAAATATAAATCATTTTCTTTTTGGAGACTGCCGGAGGTAAAGATAGAGCTGCTGACCTGGGACCCCCTTCCCTTAAAGGGGAAAACTGCTACATGACCCATATTGTGAATAAGGTCAAGTGTTCTGCGTCAAAGTTGGGGGCATTTGGGGGTTTGTGTGCATGGAAGTATATAAGGAAGACTTTCTGAAGCATGAAATATCTCACAATGTGATGAACACTTTATGGACACCTTTTACTTTATATTTTCACTTTTATTTTATTTGCATTGAGAGCACAGTTGTGTTAAATAGATACACTATTGAGCGTTTAATATTTGTTAAAAAAATCATAATTTTTTACTTAGGCACGTTAAGAGCTTGATCATTTTATCATTTCTATTAAAGTGATTCTCAAGACTTACATTTAAAAAAAAATAAAAAATAATAAAATCGTCACATATACCTGCTCTGTGCAGTGGATTTCCACAGAGCAGCCTGGATCCTCCTCTTCTCGGGTCACCCACTGGCCCTCTTGGCCCCTCCCTCCTGTCAGGTTCCCCTGCAGCAAGCAGCTTACTATGGGGTCACACAAGCATGAGCACTTCTTAGCCACTGCTCCATGTGTCAATTCACACATGGAGCCATGGCTCAGTCCCACCCTTTCTCTTCTCATTGGCTTACTGGCTGTGATTGACAGCATCTGTCTCGGCCAATGAGGAGAGGGAGTCTCGGGATAGCCGAGACTCCAGTGCACATCGCTGGATTGAGAGTGTGCTTGAAGTGCATGAACGTAGAAAAACCTTGAGCCTTTACAAACCACTTTAATTTTCTGGCCAATGAAATGAATAAACTTCCAAGCACTCGATGCTCCTAAAAGTGTTTGAAAAAATGCTGATTAGGAGCGTTTTTAAAGCTGCTTTTCTCCTACCATTTAGAAAAGCCCCAATGTGCATGAAGCCTAAATAATCTTAGGAGAACAACCTGAGGTTAATTGGAGCTAAAATAGTTTCAAATTTCTGGTTGACTTCAAGTTCTGACCTTATATGTAGGAGTGTTTCTTAAAGGAGAAGTATGGCCAAAGCTTTCTTTTGCTTTACTACTTCTTTGAATTAGAGGTGAGCAGTTTGTTCTGCACTCTTGTGACCTGTTTTCAGCTGACAATAGGCTAGGTCCAGGCTGGGGAAAGATCCCGAACAGATACCTGGACCAGCAGTTGACTCAGCTGCGCTGAAAGTACATTTAGAAACTTCAGAAACATTCAGAGCAATAGGAGTAGGCTAGAAATAAAAACTGAAATTGCATTGCAGAAGTACATGGTTTTTACAATTTGGCCATATATGCGCTTTAATTTTAGTACATGCATCTGAACTAGGATTCCAGTCCTAAAATGTTGCTAATCTAAATCCACTGTAGAAATCTGAGTTCTTTTGAAGTAGGTGCTGTCTTTGGATATAGGATACAAGTTTTTCTTGTTTTTATCAAAACAAGTGAAGTCAGAGTATTTTAACACAGCTCTCAAGAGCGACTAGGAGTCTGAGTCTAAAAGGTATAGGAATACATACAATGGGAATGATGCAATGGGAATTATTGAATGCATCATGTTTTCTTTACAATTGAGCAGACTCAGTTCTTTGAATTATACAAATAGCCATAGTCTGCAAGGCAATAGCAATAAATGAAATAGACCATCTGACTGGCATTTATATTTCTAGTCCTATTTACACTGCCTAGAATATCTATAAAAGTGCATCTATTATCAAAAGTTCAGTTGGGCAGACCGTACATTATCCAAAAAGTGTGCCAGTTCCCCCACTCACACATTTGAGGTGAATGGGCGAATCACTCCTTCTGTGCTATTGTGTTCTCGTGGAGGGGAGACTTCCCCGCTGTCTGAACACAGTGATCAGTGTTGTCGGCTATAGTTGGTGGCTCTGATCGTTCGCAAAAAAAAAAAAAAACCTGACAGGGTGGTTGTACAGAAGTCGATTGATACACCTCTGTACAACCAGGGTGCCCATACATTGATCGAAATTCAGCCAGTTCTTGCTGAACTGGCTGATTTTCTATACATGTATGGCTGGTTTTAACTTCTAGTTGTATGATGAATTTTATTTGTATTCAGGTAAATCGAGTAAAAATTCAGCGCACCGGATTTTCATGATGGCTGGATGTTTGACCAATGCATGGCATTGGTCATGGGATCTCTTCTGATGGGAAAGATCACAGTTAAAGCTGAGACTCGGCATTGTTTGTGGCATTAGCCAAGAATGCTGTTCAACCCCTTTACGACTACCCAACACATATGTGTGGTGACAGAAGGATGGGGTTTAGTACTCACATGCCACATATGTGTTGCTGGGGAGCTGCTGTTTGTGCTCACTGCACATCCTCAGCACAAAGACAGCTCTCAGTCTGAGCTACAGATCGGTAGTTTGCAGGACCAGCTTCTTATCATGTGGTCACATTATCTCTGATCCTTCTCGCCCAAGGGGTGCCGAGGCAGGCAGGAAGGGGTTGACATTCTGCTATACCCTGTCCTAAAATAGTTTTTGTTAAAGGTAAAGCTAATAAGGAACCCCGGGAAAATATTTATTATTTTTATGTAAACTGTTTTACCTTTTTAATGGTTTGTAACTCTGTTCAGGCAGTCCTGTAATTAACAGACCTCTACCATACTGCATAGTTAGTAGGATGATGCCGCTATTTGATTTTTTTTTTCATGTGTTAATATTTCCTGTATCACCTATCTACCTTCTCAAAGGATTTATTCTTCAGTAAGCAGGGTTTAGAAGGAGAAAAGCTGCATAGCTAAGCTAGGAAATAATGATGTCATCTGCATTGCTGTGCAGTATGCCAAAGCTGAAGTCCAGGTTTCCTGTCCCTTTAAATAGTTTGTTTGGCCTAAACTGTTGATTTCCATTCAGTAGCTGTGTTCACTATATGATACTGTTGGGTTATCCTGCCATCTATATGAGCATTTGGACACTGCCAAACACAAATAATGTGTCCAGCCCCATATAACCCCTCTTATTCCCATCATGCCTCAGTTTTTTGTTTGTGTCCTGTAAGGATGGATGTAGCTAATTCCTGGTCGTGGAAGTTTTTGCAACGCAGGAATGTTGGTGGAGAAGCCCCAACATGTTTCAAAGACAGGCAGGTGGGACTTTTTTTTCTACTCCTAAGTCAAATTTATTTTGCTGGGTGCTTTTTCTTTAATCAAGATAGCTTGTTTGTTTTTAGTTAAGCATACTCTACAAGCTGGTTTCTCCACTAGCTTTTGAGACTGCACCTGAACTCCACTAGACTGGATGATTGCAGAGCTAGCCTGGAATTTTAGCTCCAGGCACTGAGCTCTGCATTGTGGTGCTTTCTGAGCCTGAATGCACTGCTAGTTATCCCCAGTGTGTTTTTCAGGTCCAGAGCTGTGGCACAGTCCCAGGTGTAACCTGGTCTCTCAAGATTCTCACTTTGTGAGTAGGCTATGCATGTCAGGTATCGGAATCTGCCTAACTAGGGCCATTGGGGACCATTGAAATCCTTGCTTTTCATAGGTTTACTGTACAAGAAATAAACACTGATGAACTAAGCACTGACATCATCTACTTGTGGAAAGTCACTTTCTCTGCACTCTTTCTGGCAACTCAGAGTTGAGGAAGTACTTTCCTGCTTCTGCTGACATGTGTACTTACCTCTGGGGGTGCTGAGCTGTCAGGTCCAATGATTTGAAATCCCTGCTCTTCTCCCCCTTGGTCAGCACCTGCACAGTGACTCAGTCTGGTCTGTCCTGGAAGCGCTGCACAGAGAAGGAGGAAAAGAGTGGGGATTTCAATCCCTGGACTGGCTGCATGTGCACTGACAGCTCAGCATCCTCAGGGGTAAGTACAGTGAGGGGGGGGGGGGGGGGGGGGGGGGAGGGTGTACGATGTTCATTCACCTTTTTATTTTTTTCTGGAAAGGTGAACTAACATTTTAAGCTTTAATAAAGTATCGCTAAACTGTTTACTTATTGTACAAAAATAATCCATTCACATTCACTACTTAACTCTGTAATCAATTTTTCATTATATTGTTTCCTACTGTGTTTTTCTGCCTATTTGTAATGTTCTCAGCTCCTGAACCTCTCCTTTTTCTCCCTTGCTTCCATTTTTCTGTAACGAGCAGTGCACACTGGTTGAAACTGCTACACTATACGTTCCATAGTCTAGTCCATCTCAGGTACAAGCAAGAGAGCATAGCTGTGTTTCTACATACAGTGGGACCATGGAGAATGAACATGGGCACTCTCTAATAGAAAGTCAGATTATATCAGCAAAAAAAGGTGTTTGGAGGTTGGGAGCAATAGAAGGTAATTTTTTTGTCAAGAAAATATACCTGAAAAGAATATATATATATATATATATATTTTTTTTTTTAAACCAGAGTTTAGTGTTACTGTACGTATGCAGACCAATATTTCTAACTTCATTGTCTACATATGTTCCAAGCTACTCACTCACCAAAGGATGAAAGGTGAGGACAAGCTATGATAGCCAGGCGATGAACATGTTCTATAAGAAGTCAGTCGTCATACTCCATGTTAATTAAGTTATGTGATAGGATCCCTTCAAATATCTGCCTTCTATCTTGCGTGATAAGCTCTCTGATAAGGAGGTATTTGTAGAGGCGGATCCTCACAGCATTTATCTACATAGTGAGACTGAAAAAAGCACATTGTAACCAAATTGAAAAATATTTGTTTTTCTTAGTTTTAATGGATGCATGCATGGATACAAAGTGTTGACATGGTCTTAGATGTTCTAACAACAACCCCTGCATGTATGATGCGATCAGTATCAAAATTAAATTGCTTTATTTATTCCTAGTTATATTGTATCTTTCCTTGTTGTGACAGATTTTCAAAACTTCTTACCATTGTCTGTCTGTTTTATTGCAGGATGGACTGGATGCTATGGTATATGATTTAGACTTCCCAGCTATGCGGAAAAAACAAGAACATTGACAACTTCCTAAATAGATGTGAGTGTTTAAACTTTGTTCTGTTTTAAGACAATGGATGTGAACTAAGCATTCTTTCTTCCATGATGAAATTTACAGTGTTTTTGATTTGTTAAATGATTGCTTTTGGCGGTTTTTATTATATATTGTTAACTTAAAATTAGAAATGTTTTAACGTCTTACATTGTTCAATGATTTTAGCATTATATTGCATAGTTTTTTTGTTTTCAGCTAAATTTTCTCTTGAAATGTATACATCCTTAACACTTTCTTAAAACATACTTAGGGCAACTAGGGATGTATCCTGTTCCCTTGCTGTCTTAAATAGAGTAGATTTTCAGCTCTTTGATTGGCTTTTATATTTGGTTGTCAAATCAAATACGGTAAAGCTGAAATGTAGTAGCATTTTTGGGCTACAGCACCAAATACATTTGTTGCGTATATAATATTGTGTATCCTATTTACTGCAGGGTGCCACATGTTGTAAAAATCCTTTTCTTTATGTTGTCTTCATAGCTGAAGTAGTAAAGTAGTATTAGATCTCTGAATGGCAGAGGGGGCAGAAGAGGGTGGGTGAGCTGTGAAACTTTTCAAATTCTGCTCAGGGCAATTTCCAGCAACTATGAAGGTGGCATGAAAGGAAGGTTTTTACTAGAAGCAGCAGCCTGCAGAACATGAGATATACAGCTCAAAAAAAAAAATAAACTTGAGTTTTATATCAGCACTGCTCCTGAATTCCTATATGAAGTAATTCTATAGCAATACAAAATAAGCCATATAAGCCCAGTATTTGCATTTACATGGATGAGCAGGCACCAGTACATATGTCTCCTGTTACATACCAGTTTTCCAGAGCCCTCTTAGCTGCCTATGCAAATCTAAACTAAAGAGCATGAATATTCTGCATGCCATGCGCAATGACTGGACCTTTTGATGGGTAGCTGGAAAGTCAGTGCTGCATTGCAGGATACAAAGTGACTTGAATAGGCTCTAATGTTCACTAAATCTGTGCTCTTATGAACTACAGGAGGATGGGGCATGCTAGGGAGGGCAGGTAATAGTAGAGGTAGGTATTGATACTTTATTTTGCTTGCTTCTCCAATAAAGTATAGATTTGTACAAGTTGTGTATTTCAGCGGTGTATATAGCTAATTGCTCGTACTCAGACTGTAATTTACCTTATAAATTGGTCACATTATATTTTAATATGAAAGCATGGACACCAAATGTTATACATACGCATGTCATTGGTGTTGTCCAAGATTTTCGGAGGAAAGGACCTGATTGACTATTGGAGAACACTAATTGCTTGAAGCTTGTACTAAGCTGATGCACGTTTGAGCGTTTTTGTTCCCTTTCACATTGTTGCACTTTTGATGCATTCCCATTGACAATGGAAGGTGCCCTTTTCCAAAACTGCACCAAAGATGCAGCATGCAGGACTTTCAAAATGTGAACAGTTAAATTTTTATTTATAGTTTTCATGGGCTTATGTTGCTTTGGAATAGCGCGGCAAAAGCTACCAGTGTGAAAAGGGTCTTAATGCCAGGCTGTTTTTTGGTTTTTTTCTTCATTGCTGTCTGAAGCACTGCCTTGTTTCAGATATTCAGATTTGAAAGTTTGACTTCACAAGATACATGCTGCGTACTTGTATTAGCCCTGGTTCACACACTGATGTGATGCCGAATTCACAGCGTTTTCTGTGTGAATTCTGCACTGCATCAGAATCGCACCATGTTCATGCGAACTGCAGGTGTGTATGTTAAGTAAACAACACCCCAAAATCGGTCCACAAAACGTGGTGCAATGTGCAGAATCGGATTGCATAGGTGTGAATACCCATGCAATCCGATTCTAGTACAGACCAAAAAAAGGGTCCTGCACATTTTTGGTGCAGTGCGATTAGAGCCATACAAAATGTATGGCTCCGATCGCACTGCACACAATTTGCATGTGATTTGCACAGGAATGCAGTGCGGTTCCTGTGCGACTCACCGAACTGCATATATGTGAACCCAGGCTTAACAAGTCAAATGATCAGCTTGAAAGCAAGGAATATAACCTTTACAAATGAAATTCAGTTATGATAACCACCTTATTTATCTTTTAACAGATTGCTTTTATTGACTTTAAGAAACATTTATGCTTATCCAGTGTCTTAGCACTTTCTGAATCGCTAACCTGAAAAAAAGCTGAGTCTGGAATTCACTTTGAGTTTCACTGGCTGCTTATTTGTTCCAAGTCAGTGGGGTTTATTTACTAAAACTGAAGAGTGCAAAATCTGGTGTAGCTCTGTATAGAAACCAATCGGCTTCCAGGTTTTATTGCCAAAGCTTAAGTGAACAAGCTGAAATTAGAGACTGATTGTCTACCATGCACAGCGCACCAGATTCTGAGTGCACCAGTTTTAGTAAATCTCCCTCAGTAACTTAAAAGTTGCACATCAGGAAAGAGGTTAACAATGGTCGTTTACATTCGTATTTCTCTCAATGTGCAAACTGTGATGGGATAGAAGATATATTATACACAAACCTAAATGCAATTTGTTACAGCAATGTACTCTATCCATATGCTTAAATCTTATAAAAAACTGTCGCTTACCAGAGAAGCCTGACTTTAAAGTGACCCTGTCAGCTAGGAACAGAAATTGTATACGCGCCTCTCTGGTGAACAATGCATCCTACCTTCTCTTTATTCCAACACTGCAGCCTACATCATAGTCATTTTTCCATTCAACACTCCTGGGTGCCTGTCTCCACCACTGGTATGCCATAGTTCCATCCTCTACCCCCTACCTCACTCCAGGATTTGGCAGTGATGTAGGGGTCAGAGGATGGGACTACAGCCCGCAGCAGAGGGCACCCATCTGAAGAAAATCAAGTTGGCCTGAATGCTTCTCAGCTATTCAAGCGAATATTTGTATTTTTATCAATTAATGCAAAATTCCCTCTAATTGGCTGAGCTGGACATCATGACACAGTCCACCTGCCTATCAATCAGATTTATCTGTGTATACACATTGAATAAATATAAGGCTTCTCCTGAATGGCTGAAAAGCATTCAGGCTATCTCAGTTTTGTTCCAGAAGCAGATGGAAAGCCACACAGCACCTCAATACTGTATATAGCTGATGCTACTACTACAGTATGATATAGAGAACACACCTGCTGAAACATTTAGTAATGGAAATCAATAGTTTGAGGCAAACTATTTAAAGTGACAGCCTGGACTTAATGTTTAATTCGATGATTGGTAATCACTAGAAGTCGCTGCCCTGTTTGAGCTGTTTTTTTTACTCTCTTCCTGGAAGAATGAAAGCATTAAAAGGGTCAATATTTACTGTAATGCTAATGTGTTCAATTGTAATCGAGATCTTAAAGAGTAGATTGAATTTACCTATAGGTAAATTAGAGACCCCTTTACATGTTCTGGTGGCAAAGGCTGATTGTGAAACTGTTCTTTTATACATCATATCTGAAATAATGGTTGTCTAAGGAGCGGTTATTAGTAAGCAGCTCAGTGACTATGTAAATATAATAAAGGCAAATAGATTTGGGATGGCCGTTTTTATATTAACGCATTAGATTCTGACACCCCAGTATTTAAATTCGATTTGGCTGTACATGGGTACAGTTTTATACACACACTAAATAACTGCATAAACTAAATCATAGGTTCTCTATATTTCTTGTGCTTTTTTGCTGAGCGGGGAAGTGTACATATCTCCATGTTTAAATACATACTACATCTGAAAAATTCTATTCAACTATCTTCAAATATACACATGCGCCTGCTTGCTTACACACACTTATTTTCTATTAAGTTCAGAAGGAGCAGCAAGAAGATTTTATACACCAACATTTTAGATATTTATACTGTACATGTTTTCATGAGCTGTAGATCACAACATAGATGTGTTTGTTAGGTCTCGTTCACACAGGCATATCTAAGAGTAGTATGAAGGGCCATTTTTGCCCGCACATCCGCATGCAGGCAGTGCCATACTTGTCTTTTGAGACACGATGGCTGTACAAACTCAGCTGCTGGTCCCAGTTTGACAGTTGGCGCAGTTGTAGGCGCTTGTCCCAGTGTGCTGTGCACATGGTAGCTGCTTCTTCCCAGAAGACGTGAATGGGAATGCCTGCATGCTGATGCACGGAACATCTGTAGATGGCCCTTCTCATGGATGTACACTTAGTTACTCCAGTGTGAAACCCTCAGGAGTTTACTGGTAATAATACATTAAGACAGCATTTTTCTTAGAGTATGTGTGGGTAAAATAACAACCAAAACTTTTAGTACATCCCTCTAATGTATGCACATTTCCACAGGTTTTGTTAAAATATCTGCCAGAACAGAAAAATACCTGTTGACCCTGACAGAATCCCAAACATGACTGCCCACCTATGCAGTTCACAAGAGGAAATCGGGACCAGAATGCATTTCTTTCAGGATAGACAAGTATTTTTTATTTTTTTTTATTCATCTATTGAGGGACACAGTAATGTAGTAATTCTTTGATGTTTGGGTTATACTGTCATCTGTAGGAGGCTTGGACACTGGAAACAAAAAAGAGTTACGCTTGTCCTCATTTACCCTTCCAACTGTCATTCCTCAGGTTCCTGCCGGTGTCTTAGGGGTTTGGATGCCTTTTCCTCAGACCACTAGGAGCTGCATTGTGACACTTTCTAGACCTTTGTGTACTGCGATATTTTTTAGTAGAGCAGTGCCCAAGTCCAGAGCCCTTGAACCCATTGTAAGGACATCCAGCCTAAAGTACATTTGGTAGTTGGAAGCTGTACCCAGACCTTTCTGGATTGAGATATTAGGGTCTCATCTGGAATGTGGCTTTTGGACGCTGGGCTCGACACTGGGACACTTTCCAGACCTTTTGTGTACTGTAAGCCAGTCCTCTCCAGGTTCAGAGCTGGGGCACAGTATCTGTGTGACCCAGTCTGAGGATTTGCATAGTATGCACGGTTGGTCCGGCAGAAGTACAGAGCTATCCCACAGTTCGTACC